TTATAAATAGCTTAAAAAAAAATTTTAAAATTTTAGTTTTAAATATATTATGGATAAATTAAGTTATCACTAGGATTGCATACATCTCTCCAAGAACCATTATTTTTTAAAATTCTATAAGCTCTTTTCATCTCATTTACAATTGTTTTATAATTTTTTGGCATAACATTTGCAACATTTTTTCCTACTTCAAAAGGATTATCAACAAAAAGAAAATATGACTCAAAATCTTTTAATGCATGAAAATTTTCGTAATAATCATTTATATCTCTTATTGCTATTATTCCACTTTTATATTTATACCCATAAAATTTAAAAAATTCTGTTAGTAATGTTGAAACATCTGCATAGGAATTATTAAAATTATTTATTTTATTCAATTCTTCTCTAATAATTTTTTCATCCTGACAATATTTACAATCAACACCCATTACATAAAATGGTTTTTCATTTCTTTTAGAAGAAATATCTTGAAGTGATGGAAGAATTTTAGGTTCAATGGCATTCTGTAAAAAATGAATTATCATCAAAATTAGTGAAAAAGAAGATAAAAATCCCTTTGATCTATCATTAATATTTCTATTTTTTGACCAATATTTTAAAGCTATTCCCATTACTTGCAATCTTTTATCTATACTTACATATTTCTGAATTAATTTTGAATTTATTACAGCTAATATATTATTTATAGAAATATCGCAAGATAATTCAAAGGAATTTTGGGGATTTTTACAATAAAAATGTATGATAGGCACTTTAGCTGAAAATCTTTGTTCAATTACTCCATCATTGAAGTTATTTAATATTAGACATATTTTTCTTAGAAGTTTTATCTGATCTTTTCTATTTAGAAGTATTGGCACTTGGATACATATATCAATATCACTATTTCTCATCCAGAAACCATTTATTATTGATCCAAAAGGAGTTACATAACAGTTTTTGTAATATTTATTAATTTCATTTTGTAAAAAATATAAAAATTTTTTCATGTTATTAATATCATTTTGTGAAGGTTTTAATGATATTTCCAGCTTTTTTAATTCTTCATTTAATGCATTTACTTTATTTTCATTAGGACAATATACTTTATGATTTTCATTTATATATATATTTAAATAATTTTTTATTTCTTGATAGTCTTTTATTTGGTCATGAAAGTTCATATCATTTTTTTTCATAAAATCTAAATTATTTGAGTTGGGATCCACCATTCTTTCATGAGCACTTTTTATATCATATTTTTTATCAACTTTTCTTTTGTTATTTAAGGATATATTACTTGGATCAACATTGTTTATATCAATTTTATTTAAGTCATCATTATTACCAGAACATTCTCTCGAATATGAATGATCAGCATTGTTATTATAGATGTTAACGTTTTCTTCTTTGTTTATATGAATAATGTTATTTTTTATATGATATTTGTCGTCTAAATTTTCATTATTTATCTTTTTTATATGATCTTTTTCAAATTCATAATTTACTAATGATTCATCTTTTTTTAATTTTTTTTCTAATATATACTCTTCGTCGGAGTCATCACTACTAATATAAAAAGTATCTGTTACTTTACAGTTTGTCAAATTAATTTTTTTATCTACTTCATATTTTCTATTATTTTCTCTAGCCTGTTTGCTACTAGTACTATACTCATGAAAAAAAGGATATTTTAAACGAAAAATTAAATTATAATTAAGTAAATTATTTAAAGGATAATATAAACTTGAAATATGTATTTTTAGTTTTTTTCTTAATATATAAGAAAACATAGAGAATTTTTTTACGTTCATTTCATTTCATATACACAAAAATTTATTTTAGTAACTGCCCTTTAAAAATTTTATTATTTAAAATATAATTTATAAAATTTTTAAAATAATTAATTGAAAAAAAATATTTTTAAAATTTAAAAGATTTTTTTTTTTTTTATTTCCTTCTATATATATATATATTCATATGCATATATAGAAAATTTGTTTTCTTATAAAATAGATAAATTTTATGTTTAATCTTTTTTATTTTTTAATTAATCATATAAAAAGTATATGTTAAAATTTAAGGAATTATTATTTTATTTAAAATTAATATGAATAATTAATACTTTATAATAAAATTCTTTTTGTGTATGTACTAAAAATTTCGATGAATTATTTTAAAATGATTTATATCTTGACATAGTATATAATACAAGAAAAAGTTTAATTATAAATTATTGAAATATTTACTAATTTTCTTTTGGAATCTTATTTATAAAATTAAAATAGAAAATTATTATAAATGAAAAGATTATAAAAAAAGAAGTATCATAATATTAACATTTAAATGTTCAGTTTGAACAACTTGTACAAATATACACTATAGAACAATGGAATATATTTAAAAATGTTTAATCATTAAAAATATATAATTCATTAAAGTTTAAAAAAAAAAAAAAATATATATATAGTGGACCTAATTAAAAATAACTGTTTAAATAATTAGTTTTTAAAAAAAATTTAAATTGTAGAATCAAGATATATTTTTTTAATTTTACGTAGCTTCTTTTTCTTTCATAAATTATTTTAAATATATATTTTTATATATTAAAAAATTGCATACACATGCATTTTTGTTTTTCATTATCAATAACATTTTTCTTTTAACATATACATATACACTTTAATTAATCATATAAATAAGAATATAAAATTTTAATTTATAATTTAATTCATAAATAGGAATGGATTTTTTTTTTTTTTAGTATATACCACCCATATCTCCCATGGAATTTACAGAATTCATGTGAGATTGAGATTCCTCATTTTTTCCATCTTTAAAATCAACAATTGCAACTTCAGTTGTTGTCATTAAAGAAGCTATAGAAGCTGCATCAGATATAGCTGTTTTCACAACTTTTGTGGGATCAATAATACCTGATTCGATCATATTTACATATTTTCCTTCTTGAGCATTAAATCCTATATTATAATTTTTTTCTTTCAAAATATTCCCTGCTACTACTGAACCTTCATGACCGGCATTTTCTGCAATTTGTTTTATTGGTGCTTTACATGCATCTTTAATTATATTTACACCAACTCTTTGATCATAATTATCAGTTTGAACTGAATCAAGCTCCTTTGAAGCAAATAATAGTGCACTTCCTCCACCTGGGACAATACCTTCTTCAACAGCTGCTTTAGTTGCACACAAGGCATCTTGTATTCTATCTTTAATTTCATTAACTTCTACTTCACTTATTCCTCCAACTTTTATTAAAGCAACACCACCTGTTATTTTAGCTAATCTTTCTTGTAATTTCTCTTTTTCGTAATCAGATGTATTCATTTTTATAGCGTTTCTTATACTTTCACATCTTTCATTTATTTCTTCTTTTTTTCCTTCTCCTTCCATAATTAATGTACTATCTTTTGTAACATTTATAGATTTAGCTTTTCCTAAATATGAAACAACTTGTGGATCATCTAATTTTAATCCAGCTTCTTCAGTAATAACTTTAGCTCCAGTCATAACTGCTATATCATGAACCAATGCTTTTCTATGTTCTCCAAATCCTGGTGCTTTAACGGCACATATTTTTAAACCTAATCTTAATTTATTTACTATTAAGGTAGCTAATGCATCACTGTCAACATCTTCAGCTATTACTAATAAAGAGGATTGATTTTGCAAAACATGTTCTAGAACTGGTAATAATGATTTAACACTTGATATTTTTTTTTCATGAATAAGGATATATGGCTTTTCAAGTTCAACCTTTTGATCTTTGCTATTATTAATAAAATATGGAGATATATATCCTCTATCAAATTTTATTCCTTCTACAATTTCTAATTCATGTTGTAATGTTTTTCCTTCAGTAACTGTAATAGTTCCCTCTTTTCCAACTTTTTTCATAGTGTCAGCAATAAGTTGTCCAATATTTTTATCACCATTAGCTGATATACTTGCAACATTGAAAATTTCTTCTGTTGTAGTAACATCCTTTTTTATTGAATTTAAATACTCTAGAACTTTTTCAACACCCTTATTAATACCTCTTAATAGATCCATTGGGTTCATACCAGAATCTACAGCTTTGCATCCTTGTTGAAATATAGATCTGGCTAAAATAGTAGCTGTAGTTGTACCATCTCCTGCTTTATCATTTGTGTTTGCTGCAACTTGCTTAACCATTTGAGCACCAAGATTTGCTAATTTGTTATTAAATTCAATACTTTTTGCAACTGTAACACCATCTTTTGTTATCTTAGGAGCTCCAAATGATTGTTCTATTATTACATTTCTTCCTTTGGGACCTAAGGTTACACTTACTGCATCTGCCAATTTGTTACATCCTAAAATAAAAAAAAAAAAAAAAAAAAAAAAAAAAAAAAAAATTAAATAATAAAAGTACTCTATAATAAAGCATATATATATATATATATATATATATATATATACTATTAAAAAAAGTTTATAATTAATAACTTTAAAGAAATAAAAATATAAAACATCAAAAATATATATTCTTAATAAGTGGGATCAATAATGAGATATATTCATAAAGTATAGAATGTATTTTTATATATAAATATTATCTTTTTAATTTATTATTAAACCTGTTAACATAGCCATTCTAGCATCACTTCCAAATCGTATATCTTTTGATATGTTTCTCTTTTGAATAACATTTATATTTGAAACATATTTATTAGTATTGCTACTAGTATTAACAATTTTTCCACGTAATTTTGATAACATTTTTTTCTATAAATTAATACCTTTTTTAATTAATATATTTTTTTTAAAATATATATATATATATATTGATAAATTTTATATTTATAAAATTATACAAAATTTTTTATTTTGACAGAAATTAAAAATGCTTGTATCTTTCTTACAATATTAAAAGCTTTTTAAATTTAATATTCAAAATTTTTTTTTTTTAATAGATTTTGAATCTTTAATAATTCTTAAATAACATTAAATTATAATAAAAGTTATTTTTTGTATTTTTATTTTTGGTATTTTTTATGTTATAAATTAAAAAAAAAAAAAATTTCAAAATTATATTTTTCTTCAAAAGTGCATTATTATAAATAAAACTTTAATAAGTTTATATAAGTATGATGTTTTTAAAAGGAGTTGAAAAATTTTATTTTTTTTATTTATAATTAACAGTCTACATTATCTTATGAAGAAAAAAAATAAATTTTATTTTTAAATTACGGTTTATAAATGTTTTTAAATTAAAAGGGAATTTTTAATTTTTAAATATTAATCAATTTTTTTTTTTTTTTTTTTTTTTTTTTCTTACCAAGAGCTTTACTAACAAATTTTTAAATTAAATATTAAAATAAAAATATATGAGCTTTTGTATTTGAATGATTACAGAACTACTATAAAAAATATATTAGTCCACTCTCTTTAAAAAAGAAGGAAAATTTTCTATAATATAACTATTATTTGTTATGTTTCCTTTATTTTCACCTAGATTTTTTTTTATATTTATATGAAATTCTTGTGTTTCATCAATTATGGAAAAATGTGGAGATTTTTCCTAAAAAAATTTGTTATTTTGTTATATAAAGGATATATTAGATATTTATATATATAATAATATTTCTTTATTTTATTAAAATTCATTTTATGTATATTGTTTTTTTTCATACTTCAGTATTTTGCCAATTAAAATCTAACACTTCTCTCCATTTACTTGAATTTTTATCTATATTAATTTTTTTTAATAATTCAGATAAACTATCGTAATTAAAATTATATTGAAGAAATGATAAATTCTTTGAACTAAAAATATATTCCAGAGAAAAGAAAAATAAACATAACGTGAAATAAGAAAAAAAAAAAAAAAAAAAAATATTTATATGTTTTTTATTTATTTATCTATCTTTTTCTACTTTTCAATAATTGGAGAACTCATGGTATTAATATAGAAATTAGTATCATTTGTATCATGTATTCTTATCTGTAAATGTTAAATAAAAAGACACAATTTTTTTAATCAAATATGTTAACATATAAATATGAAGAGTATATAATAAACAAAAGATTTATTTTAAAATTTTTTTTTTCTTTATTTTTTTCTAAGTATTTATTTAATTTAAAAAAAAAATATATATACTTGTTTAGTATTTGTTAAAATAGTACAGTTCACACAATTATATATCAAAACAGATGATTCAACTGCTGCTACCCTGAATAGTAATAAAATGTGTAATTAAAAAAATAAAAATAAAAAAGATAAATAATAAAAATTGTGATTTTAAAATATATTATTAAAGTGCTTAATTTTTTTTTTTTTTTTTTTTTTTTTTTTTCAAAATGAAAATTATAATTAAAAACATCCTTTCATTGAAAACAGAAAAGTAAAAATACGAAAACACAAAAGCATACTCATGCTTATATATATGAATAAATCTTTTATTTTAATTATACCAAATAGTGCATTTTTGTATTTTCTGTATTAAAACAGAACTTAAAATATCAAGAACTATAATTTCACAATTTTCCTATTAATAAAATATTAAAATTATGAATATTAATAATAAAATTAAAGAATAACATAATTACATATGTGTAAATATTTATTTTACTAAATTATCTAAAAGTAAACTGGAATATTCAGTCTCTCCAAACCCTTTAATTATTCTATATATTTTTAAAAATAAAAGATTTTATAAAAAAAAAATTATTTTGAATTTAAATATGTTCCTTTTTTTTAGTAATGATATATTATTCTATAAAATATATACACCTTTTATTTGAAATGTTTTGAAAAGATAATTTATATTGATTTATATCAATTTGGTAATCAACTAATTCTTTACTTTCATATTCTTCATCTATACTGTCATTTTCAGGAAGAAAAAAGCTATCATCATAATTAATATTCATATCATTGTATTCTATTTTATTCCTATTTTGAATTAATATATATTTTAAGGATTCAATTTCTTTTATCAATTCTTTTAGCTTCTAAATAAAATATAAAGAACATAAAAATACATATAAAAACATAAAAGATACTTTTTTTTTTTTTTTTTTTTTTTCATATTATAAACCTTTTCATATATTATAACTGAACTATGCTTGAGAAATTGAAAATATATATTTGTTAATCTCTCTTTTAGTTTTATGGTTCTATCATTTAATTCATTTATTTCAATTAATTTATTATCGTTACTTTCAATATTTTTTTTTAATTTTTGAATTTTAGTTTCAATGTCTAGAGTAATATTAAAAAAGAATAAATGTTTTTTATAGAATTAAAAGGGTTAATTTCTTTATTTAAAAAAATTTCAATTTTTTTTTTTTCATTTCTTAAAATGAGATTAAATGGAATAATTTATATTTGGTTAAACATAATAAAAAGAGAGAGTTATTATGTATAACCATCTTATATTGTAAAATAGTTTGTAATATCATTAAATTTTTTTATATAAGATTCATTTATTTTACAAATATGAAGATAATTAAAAAAAAATATATAAATATACACATAAAACGTTTTAAAAATATTTTTCGATTTCTACATTTAAAATTATTTTATTATAAAAAGAACCTTTTATATTTTTAAGAATAATTTCATCATGATCAATATGTTCATTGTTTGTCAATTCTTCATCCATTTTTTTTTTTTTTTTTTTTTTTTGATATTACTAATATCCTTGAATTTTATTAAAAAAAAAAAAAAAAAGAGATGTGTAAAATAAAAATAAGAGAAACATACAAAAACGAGAACTAGGAAATAACTATAACACCATAAAATTTAAACTTATTTTTATTAATTACAAAAAAAAAAAAAAAAGAAAAAAAAAAAAATATATATATATATATATAAAATAGCTCGTATATTTAACATTTATTAATAAAAACCACTACTCCTCCTTGAGCACATAGCAGAGATTAAATAAATTTAATTAATAAAAAATAGTTAAAAAAACTCTCCATTTTATTTAAGTGCATATTATTATATTTCTGCATTTAAGATATCGTGTTAAAGTAACATGATATTACTAATTTTATAAATAATTTTTAAAAATATATATTTTTTTAAATTCTTTTATGTAAAATATTAGTGTTTGTATACAGACGTTTTTTTTTTTTTTTTTTTTTAATCCATGTTAATTGTAAAAAATCATAACTTTTTATAAAATTATTCCCATTATATAATATTTAATAGCTTTTTTAAGCCTTTATAATAAATATCTTATAACTTTCTTTTTTTATTATAATTTACTTGAAAAAAAAAGTTTAATAGGAACATACATTATGTGTATGTTTTTTTTTTTTTTTTTTTTTTTTTTTTTTAGTATTTACTGTTAATACATGCATATATAAGAATTTTAGACATTGTAATTTTTTTGCTTTATTTTTTTTCATTTTTTTATATTAAGAAATATTTTTTCTATCAAAATTAGGATAAAAATTTGAACAATAGGAATTTTTATTTTTTACAAAAATTTTCTATGTGGTTTTAATTTTTATTATATTTTTCAAACCAGTAAAGTATTAAAGAAATATAATGAATTATATAAATTTTTTTTTCTTTTTTATATAAAATTTTTTTTTTTTCATTTAAATGAATTAAAAGGACTTTTAAATCTATACTATAAATTATTTATGTAGGATATTTTCTTAAAAAAAAAAAAAAATTATATTAGTTAGACAATATAAATAGCATATTTTTTATATGTGAAAATACATTATTCTTTTTTTCCCTTCATTTTTACATTTTAACTTTTCCATTTATATAATAAAATATTAAGAAAAAAAAAAAAAAAAAATTTAAACTTCATTTAAAATGAGCAAAGAATATTTTCATGATCAAGAGACATTATTGGAAGCCCAAAACAATGATGATATATTAACAGAAAATAAGTTCAGATGGGTAAAGAAAATAAAAAGAAATATATATATATATATATATATATATATATATATATATATATATGCATATATATTCTTTAATATAGCAAAGAATTATAATATAATGCAAACTTATATTAAAGCAAGAATTAAAATATTGTTATATATGTTATTATATATACATTTTTTTACCTTATTTTGTTTTTTTGAAAAACAAAACTAATTTATATATTTATATATGCATTTTCAAAGTTAAAAAAAAATCTGTAAAAATTTAACTCATTTTAATATTATTTACATTGTTATCTCATTTTAAAATATAATATTTTCGTAAATATAATTTATTAAATAGCTTTAATTTTTATAATGTATTTATATGTTATTATCATTAACCTTTTTTTTTTTTTTTTTAATTTATATAATTTCCATTCTGACAGGTTATGTTCCCAATAAAGTATAAAACATTTTGGGTATATTTATTTAAGGAAAAAACTAATAAAATATAGAAAATGATACTTTATAGTATTTTAAAATTACTATAAATAGTATTTTTTTTTTAATTTATATTTTTAGAATTATTATAAAGAAATAGAATCTCTATTTTGGACAGCTGAAGATTATAATTTTGATAAAGACAAACAATATTTAGAAAATATAGATAAAAATATGTTAATCAAATTATATGAACTTGTTTGTTTTTATAGTTTAAAGTAAAAAAAGAAAAAAAAAAAAAAAGAAAAAAAAGTTGATGCATATGTATTTATATATATAATATATTCTTTTTTTTTATTTCTTTTTTTTAGAGATTTACATATTTATGAAGAACAAGCACTCATAACTAGTAAGATGTTAGATATAATTCAAATCCCAGAAGGAAGAGCTTTTTATGGGTTTCAGATGTGTATGGAAAATATTCATGATGAAGTTTATGCATGTATTTTTGAAACATATATTCCTGACCAAAAACAGAAAACAGTGATAATTAATAAAGTAATACAGTTAGATAGTGTTTTAAAAAAACAAAAGTGGTTAACAGAAATATTTGAAACAAATATTCCATTTTTCAATAAACTAATTCTTCTTTATATATCTAAAGTTCTTTTCAACGGAACATTAAATATTTTAATTGGATATTGTAAAGAAAATTCTATTTTACCATGTTTATGTTCTGTACATGAGAAAATCCACAGAGATGAATATCTTCATGGTGATTTTTCTGTTATGTGTTGTAATCATTTAAATAACAAGTTGAAATATGAACATGTATTAGAATATTTTAAAATGGCTGTTGAATTAGAATATCAATTTGCTTTAGAAATGTTAGAATTAAATGTCTTAAAAATAAAAAAAGAGCAAGTTAGATCTTTTCTAGAATATTTGGCTGATACTATGCTTGTAAACCTAAAATATCCAAAGCATTATAATTCTAAATACCCATTTTTATGGCCAGAAATTGATAAAGTAATTTAACATAAAAATTTTATTTTTCATACAATTTTATCTTTATTTTAAAATGTGTAATACATATATAATTTTATACTCTTTTTTATTTTTTTAATTTCAAGATACATATTTATTCTTTTATTTTTTTAATAGATTGTTGTAAATGAGAATCACAAAACGGAAAGTGTTAAAAAAAGTGATAATATTTATGGAGAGAAGCAAATATTATTTGATGAAGATTTTTAAATTAAATATTATTATCATTCAACTATATATATAAAAAAAAAAAAAAAAAAAAAAAAAGGTATTTTATAAATTATCTTATTTTTAATTAGTTCTTTTAAATAAATAAAAAAAAAAATATATATATATAAATTCATATATTTAACATATATATGCTTTTATTAAATTCTTAATAAAGTAGATTTAATAAAACTATTATTTCTATTTTTTGTAAAACTTTATATATTTATAATTACACTTAAGAAAATTCATAAAAATATAAAAAACATTTATATATAAATATACAATTTCAGTTTATTTTTATAAATGAATATTTAATTTGTGAAAAATATATATATATATATACATATATATAACTAAAATTATTTTTCATGAATTACTTTATTAAATTTTTTTTTTTATTTTGAAATAAAACTATTTTCTAAAAGTATTAAGTTAAATTTTTTACAACTCTAACATATAAAATTTTAGTTGTGAATTTAAATTATGAATTAATATGTTTTAATGAAATTTCAAAATTTTCATTTCTACTTCAAAAATAAATATTATTATAATTTAAAAAAAAGTTCATACATAATATTTTAAATTGTAGAAATATTTTATAAATAAAAATTAAGAAATAAAAAGTTATATATATGGTACATTTTTATTTTTATTAAATAAAATTAAAAAAAAAAATTTCCTTTAAAAATAATTTATATGGGAAAAAAATAATGCATTTATCGTTATACAACAAAAAAAAAAAAAAATTAGAAAATTGTATATTATTTCCATATATTTCATGTTGTGAAAAATGAAAATATTCACAATTCTCATTTAAATTTAAAACAGAAAAAGTTCTTTTTTATATTAGGACATCCTTTATTCTATATTTCTTAATATATTAAGCCTTTTACTTATAAACTTATGAGGTTACTAGGCTCACATTATAATTTAATTAATAAAAAAATATTTCATTTAGTATTTTTTTCTTTTTCTTTAATTATAGTATAATAAATTATCATTTTTTATTCTTCTTTTAAATGATTATTTAAGTATATTTTGAAATTAATATGTATGAATTATTTCTTATATATTTCCATAGAAAGTTTTAAATATGTTATAGATGCAATGGTTTAATAAAAAAGAAAATATAATCATATTAAAAAAAAAGTAATTCCGTTATATCTAAATAAAATATATAATTCTAGTTAACAAAGAATTACATTTCATACTTTTAAAATATATATAAAATTTAAATTTAATATTTTATTTTTTTATATCTCCTATGAGGTTTTTAATTAATTTTCTTATAACGAAAAAAAAAAAAAAAAAAAAAATACATAAATTCTTCAATTTATATGCACCAAAAAATTACTTATAATTAATGTAAAAACAATTTTTTTTTTTTTTTTTTTTTTTTTTTATGTATTCATTAAAACACATTGATAATATTTTTTTTTCTTTTATGTTTTTATAAATTCAAAATATTTTTATTCTTTATATTTTTTTTTTTTTTTTATAATACCATAAAATTTGTTATTTTTTATATTATAATTATAATTAACTTATAACCTTATTTCATTTTTGTAAAATTTATTTTTAAAATAAATTATTCCTTATAAAAGCAATATATTTCTTATCTACTAAAATGGCTCATTTAATAACTCGTATATCTGCCCGTGAAATTTTAGGTAAAACATATAAAGCATATATATATATATATCTTCATAAATATAAAAGTACATAAAAATTTAATACTTCTAAGAAAAATAAAAGTTTTTTGTAAAGCTTAATTATCTCATTTGTTTCAAATAAAATGTATACAAAGATTGTTACTTCATATTCTTTAAAAATATTTTAATTATAACGCATATATATATATATATATATATATTTATTTTTTTTTTTTTGCATGTATAATTTTTACAAAAGTGTATCCTTTTTATATTACTGTCAATTTAATTACATAAGTTAAAAATATGAAATAAATAGTATTTCTTTTATTTTTTTATATAAAGAATACATAGATATCTAAAAAATTCATTATAAAATATTTAGTAACTTATTACATTTTTATTATATTTCATAGATTGAACATTTATATGAATATAATAATATTTATGTTAATATTGTATATGAATATTTAAATTGTTTAATATTATATCTGTTTTTTTTAGATATTTAAATTATATATTTATAATATATCTTTAAAAATATGTTTACATAATATATAAAAAAAAAAAAAAAAAAAAAAAAATATATATATATATATATTTTTTAAAATTTTTGATAATTTTGTATTTTCTTTTCTAAAATAGATTCTAGAGGAAACCCAACAGTAGAAGTTGATTTAGAAACAGATATTGGAATATTTAGAGCTGCAGTACCTTCAGGAGCTTCTACAGGTATATATGAAGCTTTAGAATTGAGAGATAATGACAAAACAAGATATTTAGGTAAAGGTGTCCAAGAAGCAATTAAAAATATTACTAATGTAATAGCACCAAAATTAATTGGGTTAGATTGTAGAGAACAAAAAAAAATTGATAGATTAATGGTTGAAGCTATAGATGGGACAAAAAATGAATGGGGATGGAGTAAAAGTAAGTTAGGAGCTAATGCAATTTTAGCTGTTTCTATGGCTGTATGTAGAGCTGGTGCAGCTGCTAATAAAATTTCATTATATAAATATATAGCTAACTTAGCTGAAAAAAAAGATGATAAAATGGTTTTACCTGTACCTTGCTTAAATGTTATTAATGGAGGATCTCATGCAGGAAATAAATTAGCATTTCAAGAATTTATGATAGTGCCTGTAGGTGCTCCTACCTTTAAGGAAGCCTTAAGATATGGTGCAGAAGTATATCATACTTTAAAATCAGGAATAAAAAAGAAATATGGTATAGATGCAACAAATGTAGGTGATGAAGGAGGATTTGCACCAAATATTTTAAATGCTGTAGAAGCTCTTGATTTATTAGTTGATGCTATTAAAACAGCTGGATATGAAGGCAAGGTAAAAATTGCTATGGATGTAGCAGCCTCTGAGTTTTATGATGAAAATACTAAATTATATGACTTGGATTTTAAAACACCAAATAATGATAAATCTTTAGTTAAAACAGGAGAACAATTAGTTGAATTATATACGCATTTAGTGAAAAAGTATCCTATTATTTCAATTGAAGACCCTTTTGATCAAGACGACTGGGAAAATTATGCTAAACTAACCAAAGCCATAGGAAAGACAGTTCAAATTGTAGGAGATGATTTACTAGTTACCAATCCAGCTAGAATTAATAAGGCTCTTGAAAAAAAAGCTTGTAATGCATTATTACTTAAAGTTAATCAAATTGGTTCTATAACTGAAGCTATTGAAGCATGCTTATTATCTCAGAAAAACAATTGGGGAGTTATGGTTTCTCATAGATCTGGTGAAACTGAAGATGTTTTCATCGCAGATTTAGTTGTTGCTTTAAGAACAGGACAAATAAAAACAGGTGCTCCATGTAGAAGTGAAAGAAATGCAAAATACAATCAATTATTAAGAATAGAAGAATCCTTAGGTAATAATGCCATATACGCAGGAGAGAATTTCAGACATCAATTAGATTAAAAAATTTTAATATTTCATAATTAATATAAATAGTGAATTATTAAAAATTGAATAAAATAATAATTTATCTAATTTATTCTGTATGTGTATAATTACACACTATAGTAGCAAGAATTCAAATACATTTAAAGAAATTTTTTATTAGTAATGTAGGTATATATATATATATATATATATATATATATATATATATATATATATATATATATATATATGTATTATTCTTTCTGTACAAATGAAATCATATAAATATTTACATCTGAAGTTACATGCATTGGCTTAGAAATGTTTTCATGTATATTATATGTATATACATATATATGTAAATATATAGTTTTATATTTTTACATTTTCATCTTTTCAAATTAAACTTTATTTTTTTTTTTTATCATATTAATATATTTTCATTTAATTAAGAATTAAATTTAAAAATAGTGGCATAAAATTTTTTCTCATTTCCTTGATTTTGACTGTTTATTTTTTGATCAAGATAAGAATTAAATGAATGGAATTAAATTATATCAATTGAATTATTTCAGTTAAATTATTTTTTTATATAATGCTTTTTCAACATAATTAGTAAGTGAAAAAAGTAAAAGCATGTTATTATTTTATATTATTTCAAATTATTGCATAAAGGTACTATTAATACAACAAAAGAAAAATAATAGAACAATTCATAGTTTTATATGCGAAAAAATGTATTAGAAAAAATATATAGTTGTTATTTACATAGTACTTTTATTTTTCTTTTTATGTAAATGAAAATGCTAACAATTAAAAATAAAAACATATGAAACAATGTTTTTTTTTTTTTTTTTTTTTTTTTTTTTTGCCACTTTTTGAGCATGGAATAAGTTTATTTAATTAAAAGGAAAAAAAAAAAAAAAAAAAAAAATTAAATAAAAATGTTGGAAGTTTTAAATTTTACATATTCAAGTTAAATAATAAAAATTTTCTTCTACATACATTTGAACAATTTTAAAAATCAATGTTTTCTAAAAAATTTTACACAACAGATAAAGTCAGATTAGCACGTGTGTAAAAACAAAAAAAAAAAAAAAAAAAATCTGTAAAACTGCTTTTATATGTGAAATATATAAATTTATATGTAAGTGTAAAAAGATAATAGAAATTAAGAACAACCATAAAATAAATATTATTTTTCTTTTATTTAAAAAAAAAAAATAAATGTTTTATTAAAATTCTTCTTCCGACTAGTGATATTTAAAAATATATTATTATCTTTTAATGCTTTCAATTTAAAAAAAAAAAAAATTACTTAAAAATATACAAATACATTAAATTTAGAAAATCTATGAGGTTTAATTTGATAATTTTTTTTTTTTTTTTTTTTGTTCAATAATAATACTAAGTATTATAAAATAAGATGTAGAAATTAAATAAATAAATATGTATATATATATATGTTAATTAATAAATAAAGGTTTATCTAAAACTGAATACATGTATTTCTTATAACAAATCTTATTTTTATTTTTTTATTATTCTTCATTATTCTAAAAATAGAAGATTTTTTCTTTTTAATTATTTCACTATATATATGCATATATAATTTTTTTTTTTTAATAAGTACAAAAGGAATAACTATATTTTTTTTTTTTTTTTTTTTTTTTTTTTTGTTCTAAACTTTTATTTTGTTTATGCTAGACGCTAAATGAATATTTTTTCCTTTTTTTAGGTAGGAATTGTTAAATTCAATTTAATTTTTATATATTCACTCAAAACAACTGTGTAATATTGCCCCTATATTTTTTTTTTATTTTTTTAATTTTTTAAAAATTTTTTTTTTTGAGATTCTTTATAATTATATATTGTTTTAATATCACCTCTTCTTTTTATTGTATAATACAATATGATTAAATATCATGTAAATTCACATTTGAATAAATATTATAGAAAATAAAAACATAAAAAATATATACATATATACATATGATATTTTAATTATGGGTAATTATAAAAATTAATATAGATTTAGAATATTTATTATTTTTAAATGTATCTTTATTATTGAATGTCTTTTATGTTTATGAATATATTTTGTTTTGCATGTATTTTATTATTAGACCAAAATACACTTTTGTGTAATTCTTTAGATTATTAATATTTTTTTTTTATATTTATCTTTGTTATGGTTTTTTTTTTTTTTTTTTTTTCCAATATTAAATATTATGAAATAATAATTTTCTATCCATCATAGTAGGAGATAAATGTCTGTCTATATATATACATTTATTTGTTTATTGTTCCTTTTTTAATTGTTTTCCATAGATTTGCTTACTTTTTGTTAATTATCTTTTTTGTTTTTCATTTATATTTACAATCTTAGTAATTTATAAATGACAACAATATAATATTTTTTAACTTTTTTTTTTATAACATTAATATTCTAAGTTAATTTTTTTGAAATTCTTTCTAATTTATATATTACACAAATGTAATATATTTTCAAAAAAAAATATTTATATATATATATATTTTTTTTTTATATACCAACATATGTGTTTCTTTATATAGATGTAACAATTTTAGATTATTTAAAAATGAGTCATTCATATAGTCATAATAACTTTTCTTTAGATGAAAATGATGAAGGAAAATTAATTCCCAATAAAAAAAACATAAATGGATTCATAAAAATCTACCCTAAAAATAAAAGAAATAGTAATACTTGTGAAAATATCAGAACAAAAAGTTTAAACATAAATAGAAGAGAATGCAAAAATTATAATAGAAATTATACAACAAATAGCATGAGAAACTCTAGATTATTAAGTCATGAATATATAGATGAAATTTTGAGAATTGATAAATATATACAGCACCCATATAGCATAAATAATAATTATGATAAAAAAAAGTGGATAAATGCTCATAATTTGAGAAATAGAATGAAAGAATATGATATTATGACGAGAAAAAAATTATATGAAAATAACATTATTAATAAAAAAGCAAAATTTGATAGAGAAAGATATGTCATTTTAAATAGGATCCCTATATTCAGAGAGGCATTCCCTATAGAAAAAGACCCATCAGATAAAAATAAAGAAGCTATAATTCGTACTTATTTAAAAACACATGCTTCATATTTACTTTCAGAAAGTAAAAAAAACAAAAAGAATTTCAGAAAAAAAAAAAAATTTAATAATTCATCAAACTTTTACGTAGAAAAAAACAATCCATTTAATTATATTAATTATAAACAAAATAATAATAAATTTTCAGAAAATTATAAAAATGGAGATTCATCTTATAACTTACAGAAAAAAAAAAACAATGAAAAAATAAAAAATAGAAGTAAGACACCATTTACAAATAGAAATTTAAATGATTGTGAAATTGTAATAAATGGAATATATAATAAAGTAAGTAATGTAGATGAAAGAAGAAATTTTCCTAAAACTAGTTCTAGACAGCTTTCTGATAATCATAGTACAAATAATAAGATACATCTAAACATAAAAAATTTTCCAAAAGGCCTTTTTAATGATAATGAAAAAAGAGAATCTTGTGAATGGAATTCAAATATAACAAAAATAAATATGTGTAATTCTAATAACATTAGGAATTCAAATATTTATGATTATTCAAATGAATGTAAAAATAAAAACACTAATGATAACTCAGAGAGAAATACATATTATGAGATAAATTCACGTGACAATTTTTCTAATCAGTCTAATTATACTGATGAATGCTTAACTAAATTATCAGATAATTCAAAAGATTTCTATACAAAAAATAATATAAAAAATGATAATATTTTTAAAAAAGATAGATATTCTTTATTAGGAAAAATTAAAAATAATAAAGATGTGAAAGTTAAGCTAGTTTTAAATAAAGTATGAGAAATAAAAAAAAAAAAAAAAAAAAAGGAAAAAATTAATTTAGTAAAATAATAATAATAAATAAATAAGTAAAATGAAAAATTAAAAAACATACAAAAAAAAAAAAAAAAAAAAATAAAAAATAAAAAAATAAAATATAAATAAAAGATTAAAAATATTTATATAGGTAAATATTAAATTATATAATTTCTTTAATATAAGAGCTACTTGTAATTTCGGTAACTCATTTAAGTTATTTTGAAGTATATATTATCATATTCATATGTTTTTATCCTAATTGATTAGAAATAAAAATATATATAATTTTTTACACTTTTATTGAAGTTAATAATTATTGAGTATTTTTGTTTTTATTTATTTTTTAATTTTTAAAAAATAAATATTTCATCTTATTTTATAATTTTTTTTTTTTTTTTTTTTTTATCTAAAATAAAAATAGTACTATAACAATAAGTTTTTTTTTTTAAATAAAAAAAAACTAGAATTGTTGTTTTTTATATCCCTTAATTTCTTTTATATATATTATATTTTACATAAAAAAATATCCCTTATTTACTTTCCTCCACAACAGCAATATTTTATAATTTTAAAAATAAGTACAAAAATAAAATTTATTACGTTTTTAAATAATAAAGTTATAAGACGATAAATAATATATATGAATACTAGAACTGATATACATTTTAAAAGTTTAATAATTATTAATCTTTTTAATTTGCCTGCATCATATCTTTTTTCTTTTTCATTTCTTAAACTACCTTTATCTCTTTGATTAACTGAATACAAGTTGCTACCTTTCATTCCTTTTATTAAGTAATTTATAGCATCAAATATAAAATTGCTTTTTTTTATTATTTCTATATTATTTATTAAATCATCTCCATAAAATTTTAATTTATACGTATCATCTTCAAATTTTTTTATGTTAAATGTATCCATTAGTAAATTATTTCTAATTTCTTCATTAGTAGCAATTTTAAAAGTTCTTATTAAATCATCATCTTCCTTTTTTGTGATCCCATTGTTCATCGGATAAGTATAACTTGTAGAAGTAGATAAAGTACTAATCTCCGGATTCTTTTTAAAATTTTCAACAAAATCAGCAACTTTTTCTGAATTAAGATAAAGTATTAAACTTATTGAAAAAAAAAATAAAAGAACATAAATATTATTTTTTGATTTTTTTTCTTTTTTTTTTTTGCTTTTTATATGTGATTTGCCGCGATGGTTACAAGAATACTTATCATTATGACGTCCCATTGTAATAATTCAAAAAAATAAAATAAAATAAAATAATAATAATAAAATTATTATTATTATTATACAGCTAACAAAAGCATTTTCAATACATAGGATATTCCATTTTTAGAAGAATATAATTTTGTTTTTTTAACAGAGGATTATAATAAAGCTTCAATCGTGAAAAACACATTTTTTTTTTTAATATTCTTTCACATATATATTATTTTAGCTGTAATTTTTTTTTTTTTTTTTTTTTTGTCTTATTTTTAAAATGACGAAAAAAAAAAATTACTAGAATTGTACATTTATATGTTAAAATTTTTTTTTATATTCATTAATATTTTTATATAGATAAAATTTGAATATATAATTTTAGATAGACTTTCATAAATAAATAAAAAAAGCCTTCCTTTTATTTGTTTCTATGTTTATCTTATCTTTTAAATTTTAAATTTATTGGCATCTTATTTTGTAAAGAAATATATAGATAAAACTAAAAATCAATAAAACTTTTTTTCTACCTTTTTTTATGAAAAATTTTTTTTATTTTAACATATTTTAATAAAAATTCTTTTAGGAGGAGAGTTATTTTATTTATTTTTTTTTTTTTTTTTATCTAAAAGTTATTAATAGTATATGTTAGATAAGAATTTTTTTGTATTTTTCTTATGGAAAATTTATATTCGAAGATATTCGAAAAATTTATTTTTGTACATATATAAACATATAAAAAATTAATTAAAAAATTTTTTTTTAATAAAAAAAGTCATATACAAATAAAAAATATATTTTTTTTTTTTATTATTCTATATTGTTTGTTTTTGTTAAAACGTTTAAAAAATTTTATTTCATATGTAATCCATAATGAAATTATTAAATTTTTAATTTATTCATATAATTATATATATATATATATAAAATGTACCTGATAAAATAATATTTTAATTTAATATTTTGATACAATAAATCTAATTCAGTAAAATAATTCTTAAAAATTTCATACTTTTTATTTTCTTAAGATAAAATTATTCAGTTTATATATTTGTTTTGCTTTTTTTTTCTTTTTTTTTTAATTAATAAATATGAATAAAAATGATATGAACTATAGTATTTTAAATAATTACGATAAACAAAAAGTAATTGAAGAATCAAATAATTATTTAAAATCAATATCGCATAAAAATAGCAATGCTAGTGATTTTAAAACATATGTAGATGATACCTTACATGAGAATAATGATGAAAACAGTTCAGATAAAAAAATACAAATAGAGGAAGTATTTACTCTTGAAATTTTAATAAAGATATTAAGTAAAATTTTTTTAAAAGGTAACTACTGTATAACAAAAGAAGATATAAATATAAAAAATTGTAAAGTTAAGATATTTGAATCAAAGAATCATTTGAGAAATGTAAAGGATGAAGACGATAATTTTATAAATATAATATTTTATTTTTTAAATAAGAATTATTTATTTTTTATAATATATTGTTTAAATAAAAAAAATGTTGTTTACTTGAATTTTTTTAATCCATTATTATATGAAAAAGAAAAAATAGAAGTATTTAATTTATTTTTTATAAATAACTTTTTTCCACATATTATATTTGGATTAAATAATGGTAAGGTGCTTTTATATAACCATGAAGGAATTATTTGTATGCATAATAAATTTATTGAAAGTAAAATTAAAAATATTTTTATAGAAAATCAAAAAGATTATATTTTATTTTTGCATGAAAATAATATTATTGTTAATTCTAACACACATATAATTAAAAGTGCGATAGAAAAAAATTTGAAGATTTTACCATTTGATTATATATTTAGTATAAATAAAAATATATGCATAAATCATATAATTTTAAGATGTGATAATTCAAATGATTTTTATAAAAAAGATGTATATTCAATGTATAACAAAGACGATTTAATATGTTACCTAAATAACACTATAAAGAATATTCCTAATAACAACAACACTAATATTAATTACATAGTTACATCAAACAGTACAACATTATCTATTTTTAATATTGTAAAACAAAATTGCCAAAATGAATTTTTAAGTAGAAAAGAAAATTTTAGTATATCAGAAAAAATAAGTTCAAAAATAAATAGTTTTATAAAAAATATATTTACAAAAAGAAGCGAAAGTAACGACATAAATGCATTAAATAATAATAGTAGTACAATAGATATACTTAACTCAAATATTGTTCATTGTTTTAATGATCCTAAAAGAAATATAATAGATATTTGTATATGCCCATGGAATTCATATTTAATTTTAGCTCTAGATAATCTAGGAAGAATATCTTTGTTTAATATATCAACATTAAATATTTTATATATATGGAAAAGTTACAGATCTGCATTTATGGCTTTTGTTGAAAAAATAAGTCCTTCAAACGATCAGAAACCTTTTTATGATTTAAATTCTAATTATTTCAATAAAGGAATATTATTTTATTTAAAAACAAGAAATTTAATTGAGATTTGGGATTTTAATACATTGAATAAAATATATAGTGTAAGAACATACGAAGATCCTACATTTTTGAAGATTTTTTTTGTTGATAATAATTCACCAAATAAAATTTTCTTTTTTAACTCAAATCATCATGTATTTTTAATGAACACAAAATTTGAGCTTTTTTATTTAAAATGGATATAAAATTTTATAAATCTATTAATACCATTACCTTATAAAAAATTTTAATTGTATGAAAAACATTATTAATATTTTATAATTATAATTAGCATTATTATAATATATCAAGTAATTGTAAGTCAAAAAATTATAATAGTTATAGTATTTTTTCATTATGGTTATCCCTTTTTTCATAATATCCTTTTTTATACGAGCTTTAGTTTTTTTTTAACTTTAATTCTTATTATGTGAAATATCTTTTATTTTTAGTATATTTTTGTTATTAAAACAGAATTTTTTTTTTTTTTTTTTGTTATTAATTTTTTTTATTTTTAATCTAGATAATCATTTTATTTTATCTATAAAAAGTATATATAATATAGATAAACACTTTATCTTTTATTTTATTTTTTATTTTAATTTTTTTTTTTTTTTTTTTTGTATTTATATTTATTTTAGACTTGTTCAATTTATTTTAGTTATTCTAAATTAATTAAATTAAGCTGCTTAAATAGAATGAATAATATTATAAAACATAAAATATTATATTTGCTTTCTTATAATATAAATATATCTCAGTATATTTTATAAATAAAAATAAAATATACATTGAATGTATTATTTTATCTACTCAAAAAAAAGGAAAAAATGAAAGAAAAAATTATATATATATATATATATGTAATAATCAATTAATGTTGATATTAAGTAACATAAATAGGTCATAAATGTATTACTCAAATGAAAGTTTAACTATAAAAAAAAAAAAAAAAAAAATTATATATATGTTCTTATAATAACTAAAATTGCAGCAATTGTTATTATTATTTTTTTTTTTTTTTTTTTTTTTTTTTTTTATNTAATGTTGATATTAAGTAACATAAATAGGTCATAAATGTATTACTCAAATGAAAGTTTAACTATAAAAAAAAAAAAAAAAAAAATTATATATATGTTCTTATAATAACTAAAATTGCAGCAATTGTTATTATTATTTTTTTTTTTTTTTTTTTTTTTTTTTTTTTTATAATTAATCCTATGATATGCTATTTACTTTTATAAATAAACTTATTAATTTCATAATTATTTTTTTATTTCATTTTGATTTTGAATTAAACTTTTAAGTGCCTAACAAAATAGAAAATATACACAAAAATAATGTAAAATATTCAATAAATATTTATATAATAAAATACAATTTATATATATATATATATAAATATATACTTCTAAAAAATAATTCTTTAAATTTTATAAAATAAAGAAGTTGTATATAATTGAAAATAAATAATATATATTGTTAAAGTCTTTAACTTTATTCTTTTTTTCATACCATTAATGTTTCATTAGTAGTCATATCTGATTCAGGATATCTCATATTAAATTTATCTTTTTTCTGAAATTTTTTTTTGTTAAAATCATTAAAAGAGGAACGATGTTGTTGAATAGGTTGTGACGGATAATACTGCTGAGAATGATAATTTATATATTTATTATTTTGATTAAAATTTTTTGAAGTATTAAAAGTTTTATTATTTTGATTCTTCGAAGCTTTTAATAATGATTTTAAGGAATCCAAAACATTATTAACTTTAGCGTTTTGTATACTTTCAGATATGTAATTACTAGAATTTGAAGGAATTTTATTATCATTATATTCATATTCATTATCTAAACGTAATAATGAATTTATTATAGGTGTAATATTAATATTACACTGAGCAGCATTTTTATTTTTAAATGAATCAAAATTATTATAAGAATGTGCATAATTATCTATATTAGAACTATTTATATTATTATAATTATTAAATGAATTCAGATTCAGTGAGGATTTACAGTTGTCTTGTAAATTATAATTATTTAAAATATCTTTGTTCTTCAATGATTTTTTATGCATAATTAAATGATCTATATTATTTCCATCATTCATATAGTTATCTATAAAATTTTTTTTATATGTAATATTATCCATAGAATAATATTTATTATTTCCATTATAATAATTTGTGTTTAAATTATTAATGTAAGATTGTTGTTGCTCTAGTTGCTCTTGTGGCAAACTATTAGAATTAAACGCTTTAAAAATTTCTAATATTTTTTTCCCTGCTTCTTTTGAATATAATTCTTTTTCTGTTAAATTATTTTTATCAATGTTAATGCTACTACTACTTTGGCAGTTGGTATCAAAAAAACCAAGAGAATTTCTTTTTTCTAAATTATCCATACTTTTTCGCTCTTTTAACATGGATATTTGCTTTATTAAGAGTTCAGCAACTGTATTACTAATTTTTTCTTCATTGCTTCCTGTATTAGTTATATCTATATTAAAAGAATTACCATTTTTATTATAAATGTCATTTTCATAGTTTCTATTAATGTTAAAAGATTTTTGGTTACTCTTTAAATCAGTATCTGATTGCATATTTTTATTACTTAAATATTTTAATATATCTATATTTTCATTAACGTTAATATTATTGTTCTTAAACCATTTTGCAAAATTACTTTTGGTTAAATTTTCTTCTTCATTATCTTTAAATATGCTATAACTGTTATCATTCAGGTTTAAGTTATTTTTTTGTTTCTCATTATTTTTTGAATATTTTTTTATATCACCTAAGGTAAATATATCATAGTTATTTTTCTTTGGATAATGTGATGGATTATCCCAATATTTTTCAGAATTATTTTTTCTTACATTTATTTTATCACTATATTCAAAATCCATTAAGAGATCTTTTTCTTTTTTTGGAAAATTTAAACTTCTATCATATTTATTTGATAGGATTTTATTATTAAAATTATTATTTGAATTATAGAAATCTTGCCCAGTTAAATGCATTTTTCCTTCTTTATCAATGTATATATTATTAACTGGTAGATTATAACATTTATCATCTAAATTTTTAAAAATTTTCGTATTTAAATTATTTACAGAATTTAAAGAATAACTATGGTTCCTAACTTGAGAATTATCATCAGTATATGTATTTCGTATTCTAATATTATTAGTTATATTGTTATTGGTGATATTACTATTATTGTTAGTAGTAGTGGAATTAGTCAATGTATTAGTATTATTTCTATCTTTAAGAAATTTTCCTGAAATGCATTTTGAAAATTTTCTTTCTTTCAAAAAGCAATTTTTATTTAATATTTCATCAGAATCATTTTCGAAATCATAATTTAAAAAACGTAACAATAGTAATTCATGCAAATCATATTTTAAGCATACTTGTTTAGTGCTTTTTTCATAATAAGTTATTTCATCTGTGTCATCATAATCTTTTTTTTCATCTAAATTCTCTTTCTTATTTACATCATCATAATAATAATGATATAAGGGAGTATATGAATTATAATTTTTATCATATATTACATCAGTACTAATTGTAGTTATTCTTTTATATTTATAAATATGTCTATATGTTAATTTATAAATATTATTGTAACATTTATATATTATATTACCATTCTTATCAATTATATTATCACATGATGAATTAATTGGGTTATCAGTACCTCTATTATCTATTATACTAAAATTTTTTAAATTCTCTTTTTCCATTTAAAAAGAAGAAAAAAAGTATATTAAAAAAAAAGATAAAAAAAAAAATATATATATATATATACATATATATATTTACCTAATTTCTTTATATATCATTAAATTATGAATAATTTCTTTTATTTCACAAATAATAAATTAAATTGAATAAAGTTAAACACAAATAATATTAAAAATTAATATAAAAAAAAATTATATATATACATACATATATATATATATATATATATATAAATATATATATGTATTTGAAGATAATCTCAAACATATATTTATTAAAGTTTTCAAAAAAAATCTTATGTATACATGAAAAAAAAAAAAATTTATATCCCTACGTTATTTATGAGAGTAAAAAAAAATAAAATAGATTAAAATGTAGTAATTATTTCATTAAACGAAAAAAAAAAAAAAAAATTAAAATTATAATAATTTCAATATAAAGAAAAATAATAACTATAAAAATATGTATATATATATATATACTTTATAAATAATATACACACTGAATATCTTAAAAATTATATTTATGTATATTAAAGAAATAATCAAGAATAATGTAAGAAATAAGGTTATTTATTATTTATTTGTGTTTTTCTAATTTATAATTTTTTATTTTAATTTTTTATTTAAATGAATTCTTTTATTATATTATACATTCTTCTATATATATCATATATTATCGCAAATAAACGATAATAGAAAAAAATAAATGTAAATATATAAATGAAATATAAAAAATATTACATATATATATATATATGTAAAATAACAAAAGATTAAATCAAGGTATGTATAATATAAATTAATAAATACATAAACATATGTATATAATAATATAAATATTATTATAATAAAACAGCAAAATAATGAAATAAATTAGCACTAAAATAAATTATTAATTTAAATCATAAATAATTTTCTCTTTTTTTAAAATATAATTAAAGTATTTGTTATTCTTATATGTTTATCAAGTAATGTGTTACCTCTTATTACTTCAAAATTATATATATCGTATTATTATTATTATTAAAAGAAAAAAAAAAAAAAAAAAGAATAGTAATAAGAAAAACAAAAGGACAAAATGTAAAAATTTATATTATATACTTCTTGGTAGAAATATGCTTTATATATATATTTTGTTTTTATTGTATTTTTACACAAAATAAAACATGAATATTATGTTTTTTTTTTTAAAAAAATTTTTATTTTTACTTTTTTAATTTTTCGAAAATCAATTATAATGTTTTAAAGATATTTTATATATATCTTTATTATAATAATATTTATTATTCCCCTTCATTTTATCTTCATATTCACAAATTTTTGAAAAAAACTATATATATATATATATATGAATATATATATATGAATATTATTTTGCTTTTGTTTTTTTGGTATTTCTTTTTTTTTTTTTTTTCTTAAATGAAAATGAATTAAGTATAAAACATAAAACTTATGTAAAATACCAAAAGCTTAATGTATTCCTTAAAAAAAATATTGTAAAGTTATATGAAAAATAATATGTATAAAGATGGAATATCAGTGTGTTCTTAAATATTATTTAAGTTATTTAAAATGTTTTCCTTTTTTCTTTTTAATATACTTCTATAAATGTTTAAATATATATATATATATATTTTTTTATAATATGTTAAAAAAATTAAATAAAAATATTTACAAATATATATATATATATATATATATATATGTATATATTTGTAAACTTAATATAACAAAATGGTACAGCTTTTAGATTAACAATATAACTTTTAGTTATATATTTAAAAAAAAATATAAGGATAACATGAAAATTATATATTAAAAATATATATTACAAAAAATGTATTTATAAATTCCTCTTTACTATTATATCTTTTTAAGAAAAATGAAAAAAGCGTGTGTAAAGTTTCTTAAGCAAAAAAAGAATATAAATTATTAACTGAATTATATATATATATATATAGCATGAAGAAGTAAAAAATAATCTTATAATTGTTAACTATTTGATCGAGTTTAATATAATCACAATAAAAGAAAACGAAAAAATTTATTTTAGTATATTTTGTATATATAAAATTAAGGAAAAATAATTTTAAAATATAAAACTTTATAGCATGTAAATGTACATGTGTATTTGTATATACTTAATACATATTATATATATATATATATATGCATATCCATTAAAGTATTTAAAATTTAATTAATAAAATGAATGAATTTCAATTATATAATTCAAAAAATTATTTATACTTCTTTTTTTAATAATAATTAAATTCTTTATAAATTTGTTTAAGAAAAATGACCATAATAAATTATAAGAGAAAAAGAAATGAATAAATAAAATGAAAATATATTTCAGACTTTATATTCAAACAAATGTTAACTATTTAGTTACTCTAAATATAGGAAAAAAAAAATGTCTCATTTTTTTATTTTTATATTTTTTGAAAAATAAAAATATATGTTAAACCTTATTTTTCTACAATAAAAAAAATGAGCTAATCATAAAATAAATATAAATATAGCTTTTTTTATTTTTTTTTTTTTTTTTGTTCATGTTGTAATTTTTGACTATATTTTATATTCTGTATTTACACTTTAGTTGATTTTAGTAAACGTTTTTTTTTTTTTTTTTTTTTTTTTTTTTTAGCTTCTACTGTTCATCATAAGTATAATATTATTAAATTTAAAATAATTGTTTTCAAATAAGTTTTTAGTATATTTATCAATATTTTCTTTTTGTATTAATCTTAAAAATAATTACCGATATATAAACTTTTCATTTTATTAAAAAGCTGCCATATAAATTAAAGAACTTTTTTATAAAAAATTTAACTAAGATATGTAACATTTAAATGAATAAAAAATAGTCGTAAATGATATTCATAATCAAACAAAATTAAATAAACTTGCAATAATAATTAAGACAAAATTATATATAATATTTATAATTTTCAAAACACATTTTTCTTTTTAAATATTATAACCTATAATACAATATAATTTCATTTTACGTAAAATTTATAATAAGAATAAATCAAATAAAAAATAAAAAAATTTTTATTATTAATATAAAAATTTATTTGTATTTGGTTCTGTCGTTATATTTTCTTTAATTAATTTAAAAGATTCTTATAAGTTAAATTACATGAAAATGAAAAACTCTTTATCTTAAAAAAAATCATCTTTCACTGATATAAATAATATTATACTTATAGTTTGTATTTTAACTACTTAAATAAGGATGAAATATTGTTTAATTCATTAAATGTCATAAAAATTAGAAGCTTAAAAAGAATAAAAATAAAATTAATTTTATTATTTTACTATTTTTTTTTTTTTTTTTTGAATGGTTAAAATATTATAAAAGAAAAATATGTTTTATGTTAACAAAAAAAAAATTTTTTTGAATATCTCGTAAAATTTTTTTATTTTTTATATCATTTTTTTAGTAACTTTTTATTAGCAAAAAATTATATATATTTTTCTTCTTTCGAGTGTTCTTTTTTTCTTTTTTTATATATAGTTTTTTTTTTTTTTTTTTTTTTTATATAGTTTTTTTTTTAAATATATATAAAAATTTTTTTTTTATATATACATTTTTTTTTTTTTATATATTAGGTTTTAATGTATTTTAGGATAAAAAAAAATAATGTATAAATATATAAAATGTTTTAAAATCGAAAAAAAATATTTAACAAATTATTTATATATTTTTTTTCTTTAAAATAATAAATAATATTAGAATTATACCATGGATGATGTTTGCGAATTAAGTATAGAAGAAACTAATAAATTAAGAGAAAAATTAGGTTTGAAAAAGTTGGAAATAAAAGAAGATAATACTAAGAAAATAGTTGATAATAAGTCCAATTTGGTTAATGAAGATTTAAATGATAAAAATGAAAAATTAAAAAAAGAAAATAAAATAATTAATAAAGTAGATCCAAAGGAAAGTAACAAAATTAAATCAATAAGCGAATATTATAATGATGACATTAATGATGTAGAATCATGGATAAATAAAACGAGAAAAACAATGAATAAAAGGCTAGCACAAGAATCTATAGAATACAGTGATGATGAAGAAAAAATTAAAAAGAGAAAAAAAAATAAAAAAAATAATTTTGTTAGTTGTGTAAAAGTTGAACATAAAAATGAAGATATAACTGATGACATGATTTTAACATTAAAAGATAAAAGTGTTTTAGATGATGAAGAAGATTGCTTAATAAATGAAGAACTAAATAAAAAAAATATGAAACATTTAATTTCAAAAAATGATGAAACCTACTGGAATAAAAATTATTATGATCCTTTATCATATTATGACGATAATAATAAAACTGTAGGAGATGGATCTTCTATTAATATGATTCCTAAATATGAAGATGAAAAATATTCTTTTGATATAAATATACAATACGATGAAAATAAAGACATGCTTAATAATGAAGTAATAAAAAAACAAGAAGTTCAAAAAAAAGAAAATGATAAAAAAGAAGAAAAAGAAACTAAAGAAAGAGATGAGAAGAATAATTTAGATAATATTTTAAAATTAAAGAAAAGAAAAATTAAAAATATAAGAAAAAGAAAGAAAGATGCTTGGGATTTCCTCTACAGCGAAAAAGAGGAAAATGAAGAAAAAGGGAATAAAACAGAAGAAAATGAAATTAAGAAAAATGAAAGTACTGATATTTTAGATGATGTTATTAAAAAAATACGAGAAGAACAGGCCAATATGGAATTTAATTATTTTGATGATGTATTTAGTGAAAATGAAGAAGACAAAGAGTTATATGAACTTTTACAAAAAGGTAATAATTTAAAAAAAATAAAAAAAGAAAATAATTATCAAAATGAACTGTTAAAATACATAGTAATAAATGACAAAGAAAAAAAATCAAACGATGAAAAAAATGATAATATTATAAAATTAACAAATGCATCTGAATTTTGTAAAAATATCTCCTTACCAAGAGATATACATGAAAATGAAAAAAAAATGAAATCAAAAAAAAATGAAAAAGAACATGTGAATGAAGATTTTCTTTCATCAAAAAATCTATTAAAAGAAAATATTAATGAAGACATATTAAAAAATACATATGACGATGAAGAAATAATAAAAAATGAAGAAGAAAACGAAGAAAAAAAAAATAGCAAATTTGATTACGATGAAGATCCATGTGATGAAATTTCATCGGGGGGGGCATCGAAGATTTTTAATGAAATAGAGTTAGATGAAGGATTATATGGTGCTTTAAAATATTTAAAAACAAAAGGAGAATTAAATATTGAAGACAAAATATATAAGAACCCTGAAAATAAACCATTACATATGTCAACTGAGAAAAATGATATAAAATTAGATTATAAAAATGATTTAGGAAAGGTTATGACCCCAAAAGAAACTTTTCGCTATATATCATGGATTTTTCACGGAAAAAAACAAGGTAAAAATAAATTAGAAAAAAAAATTAAGAGATTAGAAATTGAACGAAGATTTAAGGAAAATCCAATCGATTCTTTACCAACATTAAATGTCTTAAAAAAATATCAGCAAATACAAAAAAAATCATATTTTACATTATCAAGCAATAATTAAAAAAATATATTTTTTTTATTTATTCATACATATAACTCTTTTTATATCTTTATTATTCCTTATTATATATATACCTATATTTATATTTTTTGATTACTTTCAAAAAATTTTTACTATTTTATTTATATTTTTTATATGTATCTATATATTTCTCATAATTTAAAAAATGTAATTTTCTTAAAAATATATTTCATTTTCCTATTCTTTTATATATACATAATTTTTATATAAGTAAATGAAAACTTTTATTTATTACTTGTTTCTATATACTTTGATTAATAATTTTTTTTTTTTTTTTTTAATAACAATTTTATTTTATAATTTGTTTTGTTTTCTTTTCTTTTCATTTTTAATTCCATTTTACTATTTTTTTTTTTTTTTTTTTTTTTTTTTTTGTATAGAAAATGAAATTTTTTATTTTAGAATACATCATAAAATGATTTTTTAAAATAATTAAAAACAAAAAAAAATATAATTTTATAATTTGTAAAAAAATTATTACTGAGTACATTTTGAAATTAGTTTTTATTCTCTACTTGTCTTTTTTAATTACTTATGTTTTTTTCTTTTTTTCTTGAATATATTTATGAAGTTTTTCATTAAATTTTTTGCAAATACTTATTTGCTCAAATAAATGAATCAATAATGGTTTTCCCATAATTAATATACTGTTGTATTCTTCCTAAAAAAAAAAAAAAAAAAAATTACAAAAAATTAAGATGGTATACAAAATACGAAAGTATAATATATAGTTAAAATAGTTAATAAAAAATGTAATTATAATTTAATTATTATGATGATAACTTTTTTTATTTTATTTTTTTATTATACCTGCTTAGCTTGTATTTCATCTTTTATTTTCGATAAATTTTCGAGGATTTTATTTCTTTTGTTTTGTTCGGGAATATATGATGTATAAAATAAGTTAAGTAAATAATTAATTTTAAGATGATATTCTTTTACAATATCAATTATATGTTTCTCATAATCAATTGTTCCTATTAATAAGGACTGATTATTCTGACACTTTTTTGTATTTAAAACGAATAGTTGTCTACCTGAAAAGAAAAATAATAAGGTACAAAATTATTCTTTTGGTTCTATTTATTTTTATATTATTATTTAATTTTTTTTTTTTTTTTTTTTTTTTTTTGAAGATCACTTTTTACCTATATTGAAAAGTTCTGAATAATTTTTTTTATTTTGTTGTTTATTGCTTTTTAAATCGTCCATGAAACTTTCAAAATTATTATTTAAATAATCTTTATTTTCTAATAATTGATCATTAATATTTTCGTCATCACATATATTTTTTTTTTTTTCTAAGTTGAAATATAATTCTTGCTTCCGTTCAACTAAAGTTAAATCTGTGTCATCTATTTTTTCTTTTAAATCATCATAAAACTTTTTGAAAGTAAATTTTTTATCTTTCATAATATTTATACAATAATTATTAAACTTGTTAATTAATAAATTATATGAATTATTATTATTTCTTATTAATTTTTCATTCGTAAATATTCCAAAACCTTCTAAGTTTTCTTCCTTAAAATAGTAATTATTTTTAAATAATATATTTTTTTTATTATGGGATTTTGTAGATAAATATTCTTTTAATATACATTTTTCTAAACTTCCTTTTATATCTTGATTTAAGTTTTCTAAATTATATGATAAATGTTCAAAAGTATTTTCGTCTTTTATATTTAAAAAATTTTTATTTGTTATAACGTCTTTTTCATTTTTATCACAAAAAAATAAATGACTATATCTGTTGTTAAATAAAAAAAACCAAAATTTATTTTCACTTAATATATTATTTTCAATATAATAATCATATAACTTTTTTAATTCTTGATTTTCTGATAAAATTAATTTACTTACTTCTTTATTTATTTCAACATTTTTAGAATTTTTCTGTTCTTCTGATATGAATATAGGTTCCTTTAGTATATTGATATCATCATTGGAGTAAATGTTTTTATGCTCATAAATGTAATTTTTATGTAAATTATAAAATTCTTTATCGTTTAATATTTTATTTTGTATGCATAAATCATATAAACTTTTTAAATGAGTATCAACATCAAATATTTTATTTAATAAATAGCTTTCATTAATATTTAAGTTTTCATTATTTTCATCACTATCGTGACTTTCACTATCCCCTATTATGTCTTTTATTTCTTCATTTTTTATTTTTTTATTTTCTTCTTTTTCAATAAATTTATTACTTCCTTCATTTTCTTTAATACAACTTCTATTATTTTCATTGTTTAAATTTACTTCTTCATTATTTAATTTTTTATGAATTGTATTACTTATTTCTAATTCTTCATATACCTTATAATTATTTTTTATTAAATTTAAATTAAAATTTATATATAAATGACTTTTTAAATTATTTTTATTTAAATAATTAATTATTTCTGATATATTGTTGTAATCCTTTTCATTAAAAAATTCAAAAATAAATGTTTCTGTATTGTTATAATCATGAAAACAAAAATTATTTTTGTTATTTGTTTTAGCAAATGTAAAACGTATTTTATTTTTTTTTTTTGATTTTTCTGTTTTTTTCCAACTGAATACACAAATTTTTAAGTCAATATCATCAATCAAAAACAGTGAATTATTTTCATCCTTAACCTTTTTTGTATTTTCAGATATATATATAAGAAATTTATTTGTTAAATATAAATCCCCTTTTTCATTATTATATAAAACTTCAAATGAATCTAATATTTTTTCTTCTTCCATTAAAAATTATTTGCATTATTCTCTAAATTTTATTAAATTTGATTTTAAAAAATCCTTCAAATTAGTTCATTTATTTTTCTTTTTTATTTACTTTAATAAATATATATATATTTATATACATTTAATAAAGAACTTTTTTTTTTCTTTTTTTATTTGTTTAAGTAAATA